AGTCGGGCCGGGCGGCGCCATCCCGCGGGCTCGGAGGGCGCGCCGCCCGACCCCGAAGTGCTCGCGCATTTCTTCTCTGCCGCAGCAGCGCGAGGCCCAGAACTTCGGGAGCTTCTCTTAAAGCTTTCAGTGTCTCCTGTTCGCTTGCTTCCAGGACCCTCCGGAGCCCACCTGATGGAAGGGGCTAGCCTAGGGGAAGCAGGCAACGACTGCGTGTTAGTAATTTAAAAATGTCCTAGTCCCACAACTCATGCCAGCCAAACCTGCCCTGAAGGCATTCGGAGCAAAATAAATAAATAAATAAATAAATAAAATAAAATAAAATAAAATAAAATAAAATTTCCTAGCCTCTTAAAAATATAAATCTGGTCCTCGTTACAAAGCCGACACAATTTAAATGAGCTGAAAAGCCCCAGAGGCGTGGTGCGCTCCTACTGGAGTTCCCATTGAACTTGAGCGGGTCGCGCTCGGACGCATTTTAAATGGTCTTAGTTTTCGAAAAGTATTCAGAGTGAGCAGTTACACGTATGGCACATTTACGTTATGCGAGTGTAAGTTGTGAAAGGATAAACGATTTGTCCCAGGTCGCTGAGTAAGCCAGTGTCAGCGACTGGGAGGCGAGAACCCAGTGCCTGCGTCTTCGCGACTGGCTCGCAAGTCCCAGTCCACCTCATCGAAGCCTCCCCGGAGCGGCCCCAGCCCACCCAGCACTCCGCAGTGTTTGCTAACACCTGGGCGGTGTGCGTGCCCCGCGCTCTTGCACTGAGTGCTTTCCCAAGATTGGGGATGAGTGAGTGGGACCGCAGCTCCGACCGGGACCCATCGTGCTGGGCTTTAAGAGGGCGACTCTGGATTTCCGCGCGATCTGCTCTAAATAAGACAGCTGGTTCCTCAATACAGCTCTTAATAAATTGTCCCTGTTCAATGGAAGACAGATAATGTTTTCTGTCCTCCTCATATCATAAGGCCATTATACAGATTATGTGATTTTTGTAAACGCCCACACCGTACAAATAGGAACTAACACATATTACCAATGTCTACAATGATATACACACAGAATACGACGCCAGCAGACTCAGAATAATGCAGCAAAACTCCCATACCCGCTGACCAGCCTTATTAAACTTTTACAATTAACCTTGTTTGCTTCAAAACCATTTATAAAAAAGAAATAAAGGTGTATGTAAAATCAAAGCCCTGTGTGAATCCTGTCATTGTCTTTCTCCTTTCTTCATAGAAATAACCATACTACATCCGGAATTTGTGCTTTAATCAGTCGCATACATATTTTAACACTTTCTCGCTATATATGCATGGTATGACTATAGCTAGAAACGGTATACAGACTCATCAAACACAGTAATGTTTTTCAACTTGCTTTAAATTTTATTTAGACAATATGCTTTAGGTGGCCCTTTTCAACTTTTTTTTTAAAAACCCTCAATGTTGTGCTAAGGAGAGTTAACTAGACAGAAGCATGTTGCTTTACAGAATTCTACTTCATACACACAAGAGTGCATTTACTTTCACACTGATGGGCGTTTGAGTTGTTTCCAAATATCTACTCTTCCCAACAGTGCTACATGGAATGAATGAATATACATCTCGTGGTGCACGTTGTCTAGATTTCTACACAGCACTAAATTTCCAATTGATGTGTGTATGTGTATGTTTCAACACAAGAAATACATTTTAGCAACTGGATCCATTATGTAAACTCAAACAAAACTCTTGCAAAAGAGTCATGTTTTCCATTTCATTTTATTTTAAAAAATCTGGCTACCTAGAGGCAGGTCCTAAAGTTAATGATGTGAGGATTCCTTTTTTAAAAAGGAAGTTTTTTGTTGTTTTTACTTTTTAGACAGGGTCTTGCCATATGCTGCAGGTTGAATACACTATGTAACCCAGACTGGCCTCAAACTCACAATGATCTTCCTCCCTTATCCTCCTGAGTGCTGGGATTACAGGTGTGCATCCCTCTCCCTGGAAGGATACAAAATTCTTTGCACAAAATTAGTAACCAGGGAAATGAAGGGGCCTGAGGCTTGAGCCTTGTTGCTTTCAAGATGCATAACTCTTTTGGTAAGATCCCTTGTATAGGTCTGATGATTCGATGGTGATGTACGGACAGTTTGGTAAACATTGCACTCTATTGAAAAGCGAGCCAGCCGGATCATAAAATGTGAACATTTTCATCTTTGAATTGTACTAAATGTAGACACCCATATCACTGTCAACTGCCACACCACCAGAAGCAAGGCATATGTTGTTTTGTCTTTCCATAGAGTTCCCTCCTACCCTTTTGAGTCAACCTCCAGTCAACCACTGATTTGCTTTCTGTCACCGTCAATGAGTTTTGATTTTTTTCTCGAATTTCAAATAAATTATATATCATGTTCTTCTATTGAAATAATTTTTGAATGGAATTATATACTATGTGTTGTTCTGTGTATGACTTCTTTCATTCAGAAAAACGCTTTTGATCTCATCTATATCATTGCATGCAACATCAGTTTGCTGTCTGCTGTTGCTGAGCAGTATTCTGCAATATGAAGGACCGTGGTGTGATCAAAAAGCAAGATCAATGCCTAACCATCTCTTTAAAAAATTACTGCAGGAAAAGACACATTGCTAGGGCTGGCCAGATAGCTCAGTGGACTAGAGCGCCTGCTTAGGCAGGTGCAGGGACTGCGGTTCGATCCCCAGCATGCAGTGCTGGCCCCACCCCTGGGACCCGCTGAGACAGCAATTGAGACTGGGTGTGGTGGTGTGCGCCTGTAATCCCAATGCTTGGGAGGCTGAAAACAAGAGGATCACTATGAGTCTGATCTGTGTAGTGTGACTCTGTAGACCCTGTACTAAATACAAAAAAAGAAAAGACACATTGCTGTTAATTCCTTTCAAAATACTCCCCTTGCTTTAAACATGCTTTATCCCATCATTCTTGCCACTTTCTGAAGCAGTTCTGGAAATCCTCTTTCATGAGAGTCATTTTTGTTGCACTGTTTCAGTTGCTTTCATGTCCCAACAGTTTTTAGCATTGCTGAAAAGTCCATGTCCCAAGTGCCCTCCAAGATCTAAGGCAGACACTTAGCTATGAGCCCCTCTACAAATGAAAAGTTAAACACGTCCAACATTCAATGGCACAAGATCAACATTATCATTCCAAAAGGTACACACAGCAGATACCAAGCATTGGGGCCAAAGCAAGTCCAAAATCCAGAAGGGCAAATATTAAGTCCTATAGTTCCATCCATATGGAACATCTGAAGTAATCTGTGGCAAATTGTGAGCTCCATGTGGCTTATTTCTATGGCAGCTCTGCTGGTGGTAGCTCCTGGGGCTTCTCTCTTAGGTGGGCTTCACTCCCTTGTGCAGCTTTCCTTAGATGATCCATGTTCCTGGATTTTCTACCTTTCTGGGGTTTCCACTGTGCATTAGGCTTGTCACTCTCTGCTTCACACACTGCCCTCTCAGGGGCACGCTGCATGGCCTTCCAGGCCTTCTGAAATCTAGGTGGAAGCCTTCTTAAGCTAAGAACTCCTGCATTCAGTATGTGCCTAAGACCAATGCCACACAGATGATGCCGAGGTCTGCTGCCAGCTGGAGCAGTAGTCGGGCTTTCTTCTCTCTTGGCTGTAGCAGTCGAGTACCTCGATTGTTGAGCACTCAGACCCTGATTCCCAGGAATAAATTCTCTATGTCAGTGCCATTTTTTTTAAATTTATTTATTTGTGTGTGCGTGTGTGTGTGTGTGTGTGTGTGTGCGTGTGGCCAGCTCAGCCCACCAGGGGGCGGGGCTGGCTGGCATGTGGTGCTGGGGGATCGAACCGTGGTCCCTGTGCTTTGCTAAGCTTGTTCTAAGTAGGTGCTTTAGACCACTGAGCCATCTCACCAGCCCGTCAGTGCCATTTTGAAACCTGGTGTGGCTGCTGCCACCATTCTGGAACATGGGGCTCTGCAGCTTTCTCCTCAAAGCAAAGTCTTTCACCCTTGCAGTCTTGAGAATGCAAGGGGCACCTGCCACCTCCTGTGATGCCCTCAGGGTCATCCTTTTCATTCTTTTATTCCTTCTCAGCAGTGGAGTTCTCCTCAGGTTTATCTTTGCAGACCGCAGTTTTACTGTTGCTTCGTTTCTGGCCAAACTCACATTTTAAACCATCCCGCTGGGCTCTTTGCTCTTGACTATCAACATAAATCTGAGTAAAAGCCCCCAACAATAGCCATGTCATTGCCTTAACATTCAACTGCCCTGAAATTTCTTTTGCAAGATTAACCAGTATGCTGCACTTAATCTCAGTCTCAGGCAAAGTCTCTGGACACAAGAAAAATGAAGACAAACTTTCTGCCAAACCATAACACACATCACCTGGAGTTCAGCAACCAGTGCAGTGCTTCTTTGCAGAAGAAACCTCCCCAGCCTGGTCTTTACAGACAGGATTTCTATCAGCATTCTGGTCTTCTGAGGTCTGACCAGAATCTCCCCTACAGAACAGCCAGGGCTGCTCCAATGCTTCTCCTGTAGGCAACATCTCTGAACTCTTCCTGTCTCTTCCCATAACCCATTCTGAAAGGGTCATGACCCACATGATCAGATTTAGTCACTGCAATGACCCTACTCTTGGTATCAAATTCTGCCTTACTTACTTTTCTCTTATTGCTGAGACAAAATACCTGACACCAAAAATTAAGGAAGGAAAGGTTTATTTAGCTCACAGTTAGTGAAAGTTTCATCCATACTCGGCTGGCTCCAAGGAACAATGACACATGGAAGAGGGCAACAGTTCATGGCAGAAAATATCAAAACAGCAAGAGCCAAAAGGCAGGAGCAGTGGCAAAGTAGCAGAAGCAGAGACCGAGAGCAAGCTTCTCCCTCTTCCTTATACTGTATCCAGGCTGTCTGCCCCAGGGTGAATGCAGCACTCACACCCATAATCCCAGTCTTGGATCATGAATTAATCTCAAACTCTAGAAGCCACCCTAATGACTGCGTGAGGCTTTGGGGGAACACCTAGATACAAACCATAACAACACCTTAGTACTTAATTTGGGGGAACCATTATAAG